CAGGACATTTTGATGTGAATTTTCGCTGCATGATCTGAGAAAGATTTCCTTTCGCCATTCACCCCCACACACACACACACACACACCACCACCACCCTCCCCAAATAATATGCATATGTTGACAGGGTTCAGAGCGTGCTCAATGCATAATTTACTGATAGACTTATTCAAACGAACAAATGTTCATAATAATGTGATGCAATATAAAATGTTGATAAATTCTATTCGATTTAGTATAGCTGCCCTTACGGGACCGTTCATAATGTATGGCTTGGGGGTGATGATGATTTTTATGAAGAAGCATGTACAATGTGAATTACCCTCCCCCTCCCCCCGTAAAGTGTATGTACGAAATTAGTGACGCCCCACCCTGCATGTCATGTACAATATCTATGACGCCCTCTCCCCTTCCAATAATTTCTAAGCATCATATTAAACATAGTGCGTGTGTACAAAAATGCTGACCCCCTTAGCTCCCCTGAACAAAATGGGTGACCCCCCGTCCCCCTTACAATCATCACCCCCACCCGCAGCCATATAATTATGAATGGTCCCTTATATTGATGTACTTCATTGATTATTAGAAAATGTATATTTGCAAAATTCAAATCAGGTGATGGGTACGAAAGGAAATCTTATTCGATTATATAATAAAATGCCAAATATATGCATGCAAATATATTGAAAAATAACAAAACAAGTTCATCGAAAACACGGGCTTCCACTAAATTTTGAGAAACATGTACGTGACACACCGGTACCCTTGTGAGATAAAACATGAGCCCTAATTCGGAGTTTCTTGCTACATTGACCTGCTAGATTTAGACAACATTCCTACGTTTTCATTATATATGAAGGACATACTTACCAAATAAACACCAGCATGCCGTGAAGATGTTGAAAATAGAACGATATTGCGTTGAACTTCGCCAAAGTAAACTGACAACGATCAGCTGCCTTTGCGCGCGCGATAATTGTGCGCATGTCCGGATATGGCCAAACGAGGCGATCTAGCATGTGTTTGAAAGCAAACTGTCGGGAATTATACAAATTTTACATTTTTGTGGGAAAATATCAAATATAATGCAATTCGGATAACTGATACCTAAATTCATTGATGTTTTCATTTTCAATTGCGATTTACGTAATATTTCCGTCCGTTGATCGATGCACAATCAAACAATATATAAGATTATATGTGTCACTAGCTCGATCTTGATCTTTTATGAAATTAATGTTCCGAAATGATAGTTGCTAAATTGGATACCTATTACCAATATGAATTATGTATCATATTTGCCAAGGAAACAATTAGTTGACATTTTGTTGGTTCCTTACGTTGAAACAACGTTGACAACTAAACGAATCTCGACTAACTTTCTTTGGTCGCATGATAAACGTTGAACCAACGTTTATGAAAGGTTGATCAACCAAACAACCAAAATTCAACGTTGATTCAACGTTGTGTGCCCGCTGGGTTGGCACTAACGTCATTTGCAGGACGAATGGATGGGTTTGAGTGGGTTTTGCTAACGTTTTTCTAGAGTCGAAAGATAAGGATCCCATTTCGGATACATAGATGTATCATCAGAGAAAAATTATTCAATATTTTTCAACTGACATTTTGTGAAGTTTCTTTTTTGACTCAGTATAATTGACCCTTTTATTAATTCTAATGGAGAAAGTATGATTGACTTTATGTCAGGAAGTGGTCTGTGTATGCTAAATGGAAGGGTTGGACATCAAGACTATACGTATATCAGTGGACAAGGTAGATCTCTTGTGGACCATGTCCTGACGCCCTATGAACAATTTCATTATGTTGAAGACTTACATGTACACAGGATTACAGACGCAATCAATACATTCAATCTGTCACCACCAGTGTCAATACCTGAACTCTCAGTGTTAAGATGGCAACTACAAGTAATGAGTACTAATAAGTACAAGTCTAAATGTAACAACTGAAGTGGACTCTGGTCTAAACAACAAACCTACACCAAAGGAACCCTCCATTAAATATGACCTGAGCAATATGCCACAAGCCTTTCTGTCTGAAAACAACACTATGAAATCACTCCAAGAATGGATCAAGAAACTGGAAGAGTGTAATACACAACAAAGAGACATCATTGATATGTATAGTACATTCCTTAAAGCCTTAAGAGAAGAAATGGACACCAAACTGAGCCACAAAACAATAAACCCAAGCAAAAGACAATACAAGAATAATAAATCCAGAAAGAAGCCTTACTGGTGTGACGAATTTACAGACAATGTTGATTCTGGTCTGCCGGAATAAAAAACAATGGACAAAAAGCAAAGGTTCTAGTATCTACAAAAGACAAGAGAAGAATTTTGTAAAGAAAGAAAACATTTTGATAGACTTCATAGGAAATACAAAAGAAGATACCAAAGACAAAAACAGGAAGAAATAACCAAGTCATTGTCTAATCCTGCAGTATTCTGGGAAAGTATTGGAAAAATGGGAATACAAAATGAAAGGAAGCCATTGATCCCTGATATAGCCCTTAGCGATAATAACACAATCTTAACTGACCATAAAGATGTGATGGAAAAGTGGAAACATGATTTCTACAGTATATTTAACCCCAGTGAAGATAACTCCACCAACATTACCAACATTGACCACCTATATAGGGATGACTGTAATATCAGCACAGATACTGCAGACTGTGAAGTTCTTAACCAACCTATAAGGGAAGAAGTAGTCTATAGAGTTGTTCTTCTCACTAAACTGAATACATCTCCTGGAATTGATAATATTCAGGCTGAAGTGCTCAAGAACTCCATGAGTGTGAATATTTGATACTAACTTTTTAATATCATGTTTAAACCTGGACTGGTGCCAGAAATCTGGAAAACGTGGAATTATCAACCCTATCCCAAAATCTGGTAAGCGTGACCCAACAGTACCGACAAACTACAGAGGTATTACATTGCTGTATGTCCCATACAAAATATACGCAAAAATTCTTAACACCAGAATAAGTAACTGGTTGGAAAGTAACAACTATCTAACAGAACTGCAGAATGGATTCTGCAAGGAATCAGGCCAAGATGACTTACAGTCCTTAACAAAAATACTCTACAACAGAAAGATGTCCAGGTTACCAACATTTTTGTGTTTCGTTGATATGAAGAAGGCGTTTGACTCTGTACAGAGAAATTTACTGTGGCTCAAATTGAAGCAACAATTTGGAATTCAAGGGTTGATTCTTGACGCCCTTCAGTCTCTGTATCAAGGAGTTCGGTGTTGTGTAAAAATAAATACAGAAAGAACCAACTTGTTTGACGTCTCAGTGGGTGTGAAACAAGGGTGCTGCATTTCGCCAACTTTATTTTCAATGTACGTAAATGACCTAGCAGATGAATTGAATTGTGGTGTTGATATAGACAACATGGACATTTCATCACTTATGTATGCGGATGATAGTGTGCTCATAGCCCCAGATGAAAATAGAATGCAGAAATTTATGAATTTTCTCGCGGATTGGTCAAAATACTGGAAACTTTCAGTAAACAAAGAGAAAACAAAAGTAATGCATTATCGGACCGTATCCACCCTTATGGGAAGCTACCAGTTTACATGGGGTGAAATTAATATTGACTGTTGTGTCGAATATAAATACCTTGGTATGTGGCTGAACGAACACTACAACTACAGGAAAACTGTAACTGAAATTTGTAAAGCAGCAAACAGAGCCCTTGGGGCTGTGATAGCCAAGTTAAATAACATGGGTGGTTTATGTGTTCACTAAACTGTTTGATAGCTATGTCCAACCTGTTCTAAATTACAGTGCCAGTGTGTGGGGCCTGAACGCTTATAAGGAAATTAACCATGTACAAAACAAAGCCTGTCGTTTCTTCCTGGGGGTGCGGAAAAACAGCTCAAATATCGCTGTACGAGGTGACATAGGTTGGAGGAGTCAACAAACAAAGTTACAAATTGAAGTGTTTACATATCTTCATAAAACTGTTACAGTGGATCCAAACTCATTAACAGGAATCATTCACAGGTGGTCAGTTAGGAAGAAATCATCATGGGATTACAGGATCATGGACATGGTCAAGAAGCTTACTATCACCAGAGGTCAGAGTACATATGATTATTGTAATAACACAAGCCGTGCATTGTTCCTGGATCAAGTATTACAGGAATTAGATAAGAGAGACAGGGAGAAGTGGTTCTCAGATCTATTTAATGACAAGAATAATCCAAATGGTAATAAGTTAAGAACTTACAGACTGTTCAAGGAGGAAATTGAAACATGTCAATATGTTAAAATGTCTCTACCAAGACAATATAGAAGTGTAATGGCATCATTACGCTGTGGTAACCTGCCTATTAACATTGAACGAGGAAGATATACCAAGCCTGTCACACCTCTTTCCGTAAGACTGTGTACTCTCAGTGATAAACAAGCCATAGAAGATGAATTTCATTTTGCTGTGGAATGCAGCTTTTTTGGACAATATCAGACTCCATATGTTTGATATTGCTAAGTTACAAGAAACAAATTTCCCTGAATTTTCAATTTCTGAAAAGTTCATGTGGTTATTTACAAATGATAACATCCAATATCAATTCATAAAGTGTTTACAAGACGTTTGTGCGTATCGTAAACCGCCGTTTTCTCAACTTATTGTATTCTATGAAACTGTCAAATAACCTTACTCTTTACCATGTTTGGTTACAATATGTTGCATATCATTTGTAACCCACACAAGTGTAAACTGTTTGCCAGGATGAGAGATAGTGTGTCTTAGCCTTTGTGATCATTTGTTGTAATGATATGAGTTGTATTACAGTTTGCTTAAGTCGGAAGTCTGATAATTATCAACTATAAAAGTGTTTACACTCTATGTACAGTAGTAGACGTTTGTGCATATTTTAATGACATTTAGCGTTGTTTTGCTAAATGGGTTTATGGGCAGCATTTACAATTCAGCGCATAACTTTAGACTGTAGTACTTGCCTTGGCTTATAGTATCCATCCAGCGTCGCAGTACAGGAGGCGGTGTATTATTTCAGCATTTATTAATAGCAGCAGTAGGGCATTTAGAAGTTAATTGGTAAACATGTTCATAGCCAGTATTTACAATACTTGTGCACAACTTTAAACCCTAGCTTTCGCTTATAGGAACTAACCAGCACAGCAACGCACATGGCAGTGTTGTTCTTCCGCATCCCATAATAGCAGTTACGTCACATCCGGTGTGACGTCACATCTACAAGCATACGTCATATCCGTCCTTTCTATCCTTCATGCTCCCCGGTCAAGTCGTACATTTTGCCTCTGCTAAATAATTCCCACGCACCCGTCCCTTCAGAGGGCAATACCGTGTTTGGGGGAAGGGGGGCGCGGAGGTTGGTAATTTTTTACTTTTAAGTCACCATTGTACAGAACAGACACGGCACCCGTGAAGAGCCACCTCCTCGTGGTGGGTGCTGGGTAACGCTAAGCGCTCTTCGACCCCCCGTTGTGGACCCGGGGGTATAATTGGTCCACCAACCTGTTTGCCGTGGGTTGCACCCCTGTGTCGGTGGAGGACGGGATTCTGGTGGTTGAGGGCAAGGGTTCCAGGAACAGCGTTCCTTTGCCCAATACACCACTTCGACCCTTACTTCACCTAGACGGGTGGTTGATTGGGCCCGGTTCAACCAATCGGCTGGTCATGCCGAGCCCTGAGCACTTAATTTCATTGCTCTATAATTTTTGGCTTGGTTATATTTGGACACATTATTGAAATGTTATATTTTGTATATACTCTAATACATGGATTTTTCAAATATTTGAGAAAATTTGCCTAGATGCCGGTGCCAGAAGGCGATGGCTTATGGGCCAAACTGGTAGGACTTACTACTGGTGTATATCTTCCCTATATCCCTGGTATCTGTCTGTTGGATATCCACAGGCAATAGGATACTGCCTTTCTTGGCACTCGGTGGCGGGTGGGGACTAGGGATGATGAACCTTAATCACACAACCATGGCTTTTCCAACCCCCATAAAAAAATCAAAAAGTACTCTAGAAGTTGATTCTGAGAACGATGATGTGAGTCATACAACAAAACCAGTGGAGTATTGGCCACGATTCTTGGTGATGGAAACACCTGATAAGACACCAATCAAACTGAACCCTTTCGCGGTTGCAAAGGGTATTTATGGAATTGTGGGTGATGTTAAAACTATCAATCGTTTGAGAACTGGTTCTATTCTAATTGAATGTGCCAAGCGACAGCAAGCCACAAACCTAATGTCAGTACAGGAATTTGTTGGAATTTCTGTGTCAGTATCTCCTCACAGATCCTTGAACACCAGCAAAGGCATCATAAGAGATCGTGATCGACTCTTCGATGACATGTCAGAGTTGGATATAGTTTCAGAAATGCATGATCAAGGGGTTACATTTGTGAAAAGATTTATCAGGCGACAAGGCACTGAAACGTTCAAAACAAACACATACTTATTTTCCTTTTCATCTCCAACGGCACCAAAATCAGTTAAAGCAGGGTATTGCAACATGCGTGTTGAAATGCACATACCTAACCCATTGAGATGCTTTAAATGTCAGAAGTTTGGTCATGGATCTAATTCCTGCAAAAATAAAATCACGTGTGCACACTGTAGCCAAACTTCTCACGTTACAGAAGATTGTAACAGTGATGTTAAAACGTGCCAGAATTGTTCTGGAGCACACTCGTCATCCAGTAAAGCCTGCCCAGTATGGAAAAAAGAAATGGAAATAAGTAAAATAAAATGTACAAAGAATATTTCTTACACTGAAGCAAAGAAACTGGTATCTACTACAGACCAGACTGAAACGTATGCTTCTGTAACCAAAACTCCCACAGTTTCCTCAGCAACAGTTCAGTGTCAAACAGATTTGACATGGATTAATTCTGTTAATCCTGAACCCCACTGTCCATCTGATTCTTTTACTCAGACTGTGGATCCCTTCCCAGCTGAACAGATTTCTTCACAAACTACTTCTGTGACACCACCTCAAAGACCAAGATCACAAAATGACTCCTCAACAAAATTACAATCTAGGAAAGAAAGGAATAGTTTAGCAAGGCAAAAACTTGACTCATTGTCTCGCAACAAACAGACTGATAGGATTTCTAAAGGATCAAATGATCCTATAAAACTTCACAACAAGTTTGGATCACTGGAAGAGATGGACGTTTCGGAAAGCATCCATCGCAGGACAACAAGTTTATCGCCTAAAAGAAATGGGCGAGCCAGATCTCCAGTCAATCCGCCAAAGAGATGAATAGTTCTCAACGTTTGATTCAGTGGAATTGTAGAGGATTTAAAACGAATTTTAATGATTTACAATTACTGGCCCAAGACTACAAACCATCAGCTTTCTGTCTACAGGAAACATATTTAAAGCAGACAGACAAACTTAACTTACGTCAGTACAACTCATATCATTGTTTTTCTCCTCCTGGTGATAGGGCCACTGGAGGTTCTTCTATCTTGGTGAGGGAGGGAGTGATTCACAGCCCTGTCAAACTGAACAGTAATCTTCAGGCTGTTGCCATTCGAATTACATTAAATATGGTGTTTACATTGTGCTCTTTGTATGTTCGACCTTCTTTTGTTCTTCAGCAGTCTGATCTTCAGTCATTATATGATCAATTACCTAAACCATGTGTCATCATGGGTGATCTGAATGGCCACAATCCGCTCTGGGGTGGTCTACACACAAACTCAAAGGGCAAGGTCCTAGAGGATTTTATTACCAATAATGATTTATGTATTTCTAATGATGATTCACATACATATTTACACCCTGCAACAGGCACATACTCCTCACTTGATTTGTCGCTGACAGATTCTGGACTGCTCAATGAGTTCGAATGGTCAGTTCATCATGACCTTTGTGGAAGTGACCATTTTCCAACTTTACTTTCACTCGTTCATCCAGCTGATACCCCACCTTCATCCAGATATAATTTTATAATTTTACAAAGGCAAATTGGTCTTTATTTGAGACATTATGTCAATGGACAATTACACCTGAATTAATTTTTAATACTTCTGACCCGATTCAGATCTTTTCTGAAGAATTACTGAAAATTGCAAATGACTATTCCTAAATCCTCTACAAATCCATATATACGAAAACCATGGTATACTGACGACTGTAAACAAGCTAGAAAAGCTAGGAGGAAGGCAGAAAATTATTTTCGCAATCACCCCACCGTCCACAACTTAAACAAATTTAAGATATCAAATGCTAAAGCCCGACGCACCTTCAAGCAATCTAAACGCCAATCCTGGCACAAAAATGTATCGAAAATCAATTCCAGAACTCCAATGTCTAAAGTTTGGATTATGATACAAAAAATTAAAGGAAAGGGTTCCGGATCTCGTGTTCACCATCTAAAGGAGGTTAACACATTACTAACAGATACAGCAGATATCGCAAACAAACTTGGGGAATCTTTAGCCAAACATTCCTCCTCATCAAATTACACACCAAAATTTCAGAAATTTAAAGACCAGGAAGAAAGAAAGAAACTAACGGTGAGGACTATAATGAACTTTTCTCCTTACATGAATTATACACTGCTTTAGGGCAAGCACAAGATACAGCAACAGGGGGTGATAATATTCATTATCAACTGTTAAAACATTTACCTGATACTTGTCTTGAAGTACTATTATGTATGTTTGACAATATATGGACTACTGGGAATTTCCCTTCTTCATGGCGGAATGCTGTCGTCATTCCTATACCTAAACCCGGCCGGGATCATACAGATCCTTCTAATTATAGGCCAATATCTCTTACCAGCTGTTTATGTAAAACCATGGAGAGAATAGTCAATAACCGACTGGTATGGTACCTGGAAACAAATAATCTTATAACAAATATTCAGTGTGGTTTTAGAAAAAATCGAAGTACCATAGACCAATTAGTTAGATTGGAAACGTTCGTAAAGGATGCTATCATCCAAAAACAACATGCTGTATTAATATTTTTCGATTTAGAGAAAGCGTATGATACGACCTGGAAGTATGGAATTTTAAAAGATCTTCATGAAATGGGATTGAGACGCCGTTTGTCTCAATTTATATCTCAGTTTTTAACAGATCGGCAGTTCCAGGTACGTGTGGGTTCCGCCATGTCTGATATGTATGATCAAGACCAGGGTGTACCACAAAGTAGCATATTATCTGTAACGTTATTCAGTATAAAAATAAACAGCTTATCTAAAGTTTTAAATGAATCCATTGATGGTTCATTATTTGTTGATGATTTTAATGTGTCCTGTCGAGGTAAAAATATGCACACGATTGAGAGGCAATTGCAGTTATGCCTCAATAAAATTAATGATTGGTCAGAACGAAATGGTTTTAAGTTTTCAAAAACTAAAACTAATTGCATTCATTTCTGTTGGAAATATAAGCCGCACAGAGACCCAGAATTGCATCTGGCAGGCTCTCCAATTAAAATTGTAAAGGAAGCTAAATTTCTGGGAATAATATTTGACAATCATCTTACTTTCTTACCACATATTAAATATCTGAGAGCTAAATGTCTGAAGGCACTCGATTATTAAAGGTAGTTTCAAACTCCAAGTGGGGAGGGGACCAGTCAACCCTTCTTCACTTATACAGATCACTCGTCCGTTGTAAACTCGATTATGGTTCCATCATTTATGGTGGAGCCTGCAAGAGCAATCTTAAATTATTAGATTCTGTTCATCACCAAGGTCTCAGACTTTGTGTTGGATCTTTCCGAACTTCTCCTATTGACAGTCTTTCCGTAGAGGCTGATGAGCCATCTCTCGAACAACGCCGTATAAAGTTATCGTTACAATATATCACAAAACTATATTCTAGTGAGTCTAACCCGGCATATAACTGCGCTTTTAATCCTCTTTATGAGGATCTGTATAACAAAAAGTCTTCCCTTGTTCCGCCTCTTGGGCACAGAATTAAGCCATTCATTTCTGCTGCCGGCATTGTGCTGGAAAATATATCTCCTTCGGGTCTTCTTTCTTCTCCTCCTTGGCAACTGGTGAGGCCTGAAGGTGA